TCATCTCCTTATCAGCTGTATTCTCCTGCCTTCAGGGCAGCATTTGTAACTCTAAACACCTCTGATTACTGTGCGTGTGGTGCTGAAGTAGTATTTTCACTGTGCTGACACAGGATGTGATGTTTCACTCTGACGGAGCCCAGTTGTTGTAAAGTACAGTGACAAGTTGATCCTGATTGGATTCTGATTTGCTGTTAGGGCTGAGGCCTAATGATTGGACTTACTAAGTCAGACGTCAGTGTTAACTCTTTGTCAGCAAATGTTAGGAGTATATTTGAAAAAAAAGGGGGGGGGGGGGGTATTTGTCATTTTGAAAGAGTTGACAAATCGTATCATGTGCAGAGGTGTTCCTCAGGGCTCCTGTCTGGTCCCCACAGGAAAGGTGGAGGAGGTGGTGACCGTTCATCCTCGAGCCATGTTCATCCCACAGAAAGGCTGGACCTTCCTGGCTGCAGGTAAGACCTTTACTCATCATTTAAAACCTCTGAACTGCAGTGGAGGAAGCCTGTCCCTGTACATCTGTCCTAAAGAAAACAAAGGTCTCTGTGTGTGTGTGTGTGTGTGTGTGTGTGAGATCCTACTGCTGTAATCCTGCAAACCATACTCTCATCATCTGCCTCTGTTAGAGAGGACACATGTCTCGTGCCTTCATTATTGGATGTGTATTAATAAAATGTTGACAACTGATTAATAATCTCCTCTAATCCTCGGTCTCAAACTGTAATCTCCCTGTGAGAGTTTCCCAGAGCGGTCATCTCTAATCTATCTGCATGTTCTGGACCAGAACAGGAAAAAGGGTTCAACAAATATTGGCAAATGCATTTCGACCTCTAGTGACCTTCACTGACCTCACTTTAGCAGCAGTGAAGCATGAGCTTTGTGCAAATATTTATAGAGAAATATTTTAGTAACTTTTAGGACTTCATTCTTTTCTAAACAAACTTTTCTGCAAAAAACATTCTCGCAAAGTGAATCACATTATTCTGGAAACCTTTTTTTTTCTAAATTCTTCCTTGTAGTTGTTGTTCTGTAGCCATGACAACCTCTCTGGAAATACAGATGTGGGATTATTTCACCTTCACGGTCCAATTCAACCTGCAGTGTATGTTCTGGGCTGCGTGTGTTGATTCTTTCAGAGAGCTCTTCTCCACCAAGCGTCAACCCACAGGAGACACTTCACACTCGGGAGGATCCCCAGGTTTAAGTTGAGCTCTTAAGCTTTTAAAACTTCAGCTGAATTCTGCACGCCGCGGTGCGGAGAATCACCGAGCACAGACTGTTGAGGGCACTGTGAAGGATGGCTTTAAAAATGGATGAGATACGATTTGGTCCCTTCAGAATCTTAATAAGCTGTTGATGGAGCTGCAGGAGGTGGAACCTGCAGCAGAGGGGGCTAGTGGAGGAGTGAGATACAACAGGTTCACAATGTAATTGAGTGATTAGAAGAATAACTGTGTTGTTGTTGGTGAGTTGATCGGCTGCTGTATAACAATGACTGACAGGGCTGTGTTGAAGCTGCACTTCAAGGCAGGAGGTCGACACAACAAATCATCGAGTACTAAAGGGAAAATATTTGGAACTTTAGAGGAGAATCAAAATAAGCTGTGGTGCTGTACGAGGCCTTGTATGTTCTCAATTTACCTAGCCCCACTGGTTGACATGACTTAGATTCACTTAGACTTCAGGATTAGAAGTGGCAGGGAAGTACTTGACTGTGGTGTAGGACAGGTGGAAATCAAATTTAGTACTAGTTTAGTGTGTAGTTGGAGTAAAAGTAGGGCTAGATAACATCAGTGGTCATTTTTATTATTAGAGTTAGTAAAATTAGACATGTAGGACTGTCTTGGTTTGGTATTTCTGTCGTGACTTTCTGGAAGTGAGTTGACATTTAAAGCCACTTCATGAAGGGTCAATCTATATATGCTGTAGGTTAGAGCTATTTCTGCACTGATCAATACACGGAATGTTGATTGTGTCCGTTTATATAAGATGAAAAAAGAGCCACACACGAGAAGTTAAGAAAAAGCAGTTTCTGTTCCTCACAAATATATATATATATATATATATAATAACACAAAATATAAAATTTATTGTGACCAATGAGGAAATAAAATCCTCATCGTTTTAATATGACACTGATGTTAATAATTGTAGTTATAGTATAATATATAATAATAATCTTTTGTTTGGTCTAAACATCATCTCAACCATAACCAGTTATTATCTTACTGAGTTCACATCTTCATCCTACATCTATCCTCAACCTCATAAAGGACATCGTGCTTGACTAAGACCACACACACACACACACACACACACACACACACACACTCAGATCCTACTCAGCAATATGTTGGTGAGGCTGGTGGCCCTGCCTGGGGGAAATTTGATCAGGCTCATAAAACATTGATGAGAAGATATCTTTAGAAAATCCCATCTTCACCTCATCATCACCAAAGCCACGCTCCTCCACTTCACTCCAGATCTACATCTTCTTGTCTTCTCCAAAACTCCCTTTTCTCTTGTCCACGTTCAATCGATCTCTGACCTAAAATAACATAAAATAGTGAACTGACACACTGAGAGGATTTCCTTTTTCTTTAAAGGTTCTGTGCCTTTACATCTTCATACATTTGTTGAACTCTCCTTGTACTAAAAGCACCAGTGCATGAAGCTCTACATTCACTGTCACGTCGACCAATAATTCATGGTTTTATTCTGTTCTTCAGGACAGTCCTGTTACAGAGTCGCTTCATTCAGAGCTTTTATTGGTGTCTCTAGTTCGCAATTGGAGGGAAAATGTCCTCCAGGATAATTTATTGCTCCTGTGTGTTTTTTTTAAGATACTTTCCCTTGTAGTTTTCACCCAGATACCCAGTTTAGTTGCAGTAAATTATCCTCATATTGTTGTACCTCTGTGTACCCAGTGTTCTTCAGGTTTTACAGTATGGCTTTTTCACACTTGGCAAAACGTCTATTGCGACAATCCTGGTCCAAGTCACTGTTTCCAAGTAACCATGGTGTCTGACGGTGTCTGAGAGGATCTCCTGTTGAGTTTTAGTTCTGCTAAGAAATCCTTGAGTTTTAGTCTAATAAATAGTCAGCAGAAATATTCAGAGTTGTGTTTGTGTTTTCTCCCCAGTATTTCCACTCAGAGTCCTTGTCTGAGGAAAAAGTTGAACAAAGATCTGAGTGGAGTTTCCATATGTTCAGGTTCACCTTGAAAAAATGTCAATGTGGAACCAGGAGTGAGTGGCCAGGATGTAGTCTGAGTCCACGCTGCTTGAGTCACTTAGTCCTATAGTCAAGGACCATGGAGATGAGGACACTTTAGTCATTTTTCTCATCAGATTCTACCCCTAATTCCCATTTGTTGAGAGTGTTCAGCAAACTGCTACAGTTGTGTGCTTCGGTAAATAGTGGTAAATGTGCTCATAAAAAATGCTATCCCTTTCTCCTCACTAAGTCCAAGCCTTTTCAACCTAACCATACATAGTGTACACTGTATGTATACCACTGTTCTGTCTCCTGTAGATGATAAAACCCTCCATCGTCTCTAATCACTGAGGAGGGTGGTACTGTGAGGAGTTACACGACACCCGGCGTTTCCTCAGTCCACTCAAAATGAGATTATGTGCAGATGGAAAATGTTGAGAGTCACTGGATCAAGTGTCATGACTTACATCTAAATAGTCCTAATACAGTGGGGGTTCAGTGAAGGGCAGACCACAGTCACTGTGAACTGATTCACCATGGACTGATTTAGTAGGTTGTACTTTTATTGCATCTCTCCTATTTAAACAGTGATGTAACTGGCTAGAAATATGAGTATCTCGTACTGTGAGTGTACTATTGTGTGCTGTACTTGATATTTAAGCCACAGTGAAAAACTGTAGTTCTACTACACATACAATATGATGGAGTTTGATTGCACAAAACTGTTCCCTTCTGTGCCCTCATTACATAAGGCCTCATTTGTCTAGTAATGTAACACAGAGACAGTCCTTTGACTTCCTCACTCTCATTGTGTCTTCTGCTGAACTCTAGGTCTCTGACTAAACCTTCCACTGCTTTCATTGGGTTTGTCTTAGTAATGGTTGTCACTCAGTGCTCCAGGTTCTTCAGATCATCTATGGTGGTTAGAGTACACAGTACTAATCTGGGTAGTATGTCATAAAATGACTAAAATATATAATGTTTCTGTTAATCAGGCCAAAAATGTCAAAATCGTTTTTTATCCTCCAATTTTTATCCATGATGTGTCTGGAGTAAATATAAATCTCCTTTTTCAATGTCTTAAATATCTTTTATCCTTTATTATATTTTATTTTACTATGATAATTAAAATTGATAAACATTGCTTAAATGCTAGAGCTCGCTATCCCTAGCTAAAATTAGCTATCTTTAACTCACTGAAGACTAAATATATAACAACAGTGAGACATTATATTTGATAATGGCTGAAGTGGAAACCAACATGAGCCAAAGGTCATAGAAAAGAAAAGACTTGTTAAATCATCATTAGTGACTGGTCGGTGAGGCTGCAGGTTCTCAGTGACTGACTCAGTTGTTTGTCTGTTCATCAGACTTCTGCCAGGTGGAGCTGCGTCTTCTGGCCCATCTGTCCTCTGACCCTGAGCTGCTGCGGATTTTCACAGAGCCTCAGGCCGACGTCTTCACCCTGCTGGCGTCTCAGTGGTAGGACACACTGACGCAAACCAACGGTTTCAGATACTTTTTTAACAGTACTTTATTTAAAACTTCCATTTCCATCCGTAACCATTTTTACTCTGTTTTTTACTCCTTGAGCCTCAGGGAACAAACCAAACTCCACTGACTGTTGTGTAGACGTCCTTGGATCATTTTCCCCTGAAACCTTCCTAATTTCTGACTACCTTTTTTCTAATTGTTTGAGCTGTGATATACTAAACTTGTTCAACTTTATATTTTCTGTGAAACTTCCTCCAATGTGAACCTTTTCCGTTTCTGACCACTTTTAGAAAATCCTTTGCCTAACCTATTAATTTTCATTTGTACTTTTTCTCTTCTTCTTCTTTTTTTTTTTTTTTAGCTCAGTTACATCTATTTTTTTAGGTGATAGATGTTTGAGCTCCATGTTTTGCCTTTTTTACACGAGAACATCCTCATTTGAAGATAAATAAAACACTCTTTTACCAACTGGTTCTTCAAAAAGGCTCAACCAGCCAGTTCATTTGATACAACACATATATTTTCTACACATATTATAATTGTAGAGAATCAACTACAAGCTGAAAGACATACTACATACATATTTAATCATTTATAAGTGTGTCCAGAAGGGGGCGTTACAATCCTGTCATGGCTGTTCTGAGGTCTACTGGCGCTCCTCTCCAGGTCACATCTTCATGGTTAAATAACCACAGCTTTTACCTTCAGTCCTCATTCAGCCGAGGGATTCTAAGTTGTAGGATTTGGTCCAGTAATCTCACATTAAGTTAGTGTAGGATTTGGTCCAGTAATCTCACATAACATAAGTTAAGATATTTTAAGAGTTTGTCCGTCAAATATTGACCACGTAGGACTGTACAATGTTGAAATGGGATGACAGGGACATTGGCTTTATTTTAGTGTGTGTGTGTGTGTGTGTGTGTGTGTGTGTGTTGGGGGCACACTGTACACTGATCGGTCCTGGCAGCTTCCCTTCAGCCCTGGCTGAAATGCCACTGTACAGACGTCCCATTGTCTGAGTCGCGAAACTACCACTGTCTACAAGTCACATGACATTACTGTCTGTGTCTCTTTACCCTTGTCTTCTTCTCCCCTGGTCCAACTTCACTTCCTGTTAAACTCCAGACCTTTATTATCACTGCTGCCCTGAATTAAACCAGGGCTGTCAAACAACTGCATCTGAATCTGAACTATCGCATGAAAGCTGTGGATTATTCTCAATTAATCATGATTCATCTAGATAATTCAACATTTCTAAATAGAATGAAACCTTTTCTCTGGAACAGACAGACCAATAACAAGTGTTTTCACCTGTTTTTATCTCTGACTCATCCAAAAACATTGAATTTGCAGTTCTGTTTTAACTAAACATTATGTTCTGTAACTCAGGAAAGGCCTGAGTGAATGTGACGTGACCCCTGAGGACCGAGAACAAGCCAAACGTATGGTCTACTCTGTGGTGTACGGGGCAGGTGAGAACACGTCCACACCTACACACACGGTCTCACAGCACTACAGGACTACTATATGTTCTATTACCACGTATGAAGAGTGAGACGGTTACGGTTCAGCTCCTGATGTGGGTAATGCAGACAGACGTCGTCTCTACATGAGAACTGGGATAAAAGGTGGTTGTTGATCCACGAACAGTACAACTCCATATTTAGGCCTGATAAAGTCTAGGCTGCCTGGAGGAACTCCCATGGTTTTATATTAATTTATAGACTCTCCAGTCCCAGTGGAGAAGGCGGATTTTTAAAAATGGCTGATGTTTATGGTTTATTTACACCCTCAACACTTTAGAGGGTATAATTAGGATGTGTGTAAACCTACAGCACAGATAATTCTAGTCCAAAAAAAACCCCCAAACAAGTCAGAGCCAAAGAAAAATCCTGGATTAGATCTTTCCTTGGATGTAGTAAACACATTCCTGATTCCACCCAGTGGACACAGCTGGGCAGTGTGAGTGAGCAGCACAGGGAACAAGATGATGAATGCATAAAGCACCCTTGTGGCCCATAAAGAGACTCTGTGCCCCCAGTGACCCATACATGGTTGGGAAACGTAGGTGTTTCGGTAAACAAACTTGCCTGACTAGAAAACCACGGCTGAGCGTCACACACTGCCTCTGTGTCACTGGCGGTGGATTTAAATGCCACAAAAATAACCTTGGGTCGGTTCTTCATCAATGTTGTTGTTCATCTCTGGTGAACAGACCAGTGTGTTTGTGGAGGTTAGCGCTATCAGGAGGTCTTTACACACTGTCCCCCAGGCCAACAGAGGAGCAGCTCCTGCTCCTGTTATGACGAGGACTCAACAGGCAGGAGAATGTCAAAGCACTGACTGCCTGTATAATAAATGTCAGCTCCACAAAGACAAGTGTCATCAGAACTCCCATCAAACCAGAGTGACACAGTGACAGACAGTGAGTGGTTTTAAATGATGCATCACTGATTACTGTCTGATCTAATTACTAACTGTCTAATTTGATACAAATAACACTTATGTCCGTAATCTAGTAAATGTACATCAGAGAACTTCAATCAAACGTCAAAGAAATGAGTTAAACAATTTAAACAAAGGTTTTTATAAATCACACATAAAAATATGTTTATATAATAGAATTTAAAGTCAGATTAAATTAAGTTCTATATATTTGTGTGTATATATGTGTGAATATATATATATATATATATAGTGCGTGGATAATCAGTTCTGACCTGTTTACAGCTGCACATCAACAAAAACAGGTCTTTGCTGGTTTTCCCCTCAAGATGGCGTCACCACCAATTGAGAAAAACAAAGGTTTGATTTGATTAACCAATTAGCCGTGACTCTCCAGCACATGGTCACACTTTAGCCAGTGGGCCAGGACTCATGTATTCAGTTCATTTTCTCAGCAGCAGTTCAGCAGAATCTGATGCTCTGAGTGTGAAGTGATATTTCTGATCACAGCTCTCAGTTACAGGAAGCCTCGGTGTGGAAGGGTGAGTGACTGGAATGATGTTCACTGACTGGGGTTTAACAACCAGGTGAAGGAAACCTTTAGAAAAGTGAGATGTCAGAGGTAGGAGGATGGTGACGACAGTGAAGGTTAGAGGAAAAAACTGGAGCGGTGACACTAATGTAGGGGAAAGGGTAGAAGTGGAGAGCACTGGAGAGAGTGACAAGAACTGAATCCCGATCAGTACAGACAGACAGCTCCTACATGGAAGCCTGCGTTGTCATGGCGACAGAATACTAAAAGGAAGCTTTCTCCAGGAGACAATAATCAGGACAGGGAGGAGGGGCAGGAGGAGGAGAGAGAGAGAGAGAGAGAGAAAGAGCGCCATGAACCCCAGCTCTGTCATGTACGTGACACATAGACCAACGTATCACACACAAATAGGTCAACTTATGAGACGGCAGGGAGAAGGTGTAAGGGGGGGAGGGAGACTGGGGGGATAAAAATAGATTCTAGATCATCGGAATAATAATAATAATATTAATTATTTTTATAACAGTACTTATTACAGTAATTATTAAATATTTGATACGATAAAGACATAAATCTAACAATACACATAAAAATAACCTGAGAAGGACAAAGGTGAAAACAATCATCCAGGTTAGCTGCGTTTAGTTCTTTATGATACGACACATTTTAATAATAATGTCAATAAAATGTGAAATTAAGTTCTAACTCTTTTTTTTTTTGGATCTAGTCTCCAAAATCAGATCTTGGTTTTCATTTTGAACTGAAACTCATGAAAAGTCAAAGAAAAATGAACCTTACGTAACGAGTAAACGTTGGCTCCTGCAGGTCGTGAACGACTGTCAGGGATCCTGGGCGTTAGCTCTGACCAGGCCAGACAGTTCCAGGACCGGTTCCTCCAGACCTACAGAGAAGTCCAGGCCTTCATCCAGAAGACCATTCAGATTTGCCACAAACAAGGTCTGAGTACAAGCCCCTCACATTCATGTCTACTAGAGAGAAGTTGTTGGAGAGGGTCTCGGGGGTGGGGGGACACTTCCTCTTTACAGTCCCACCCTAACATGGTCACCTTCACCCTGACTGAAGGCAACAGTTCTGTGGTTCTCAACTTTCTATCAAAGTTGTTTGACCTCTGTCTGGCCTGACTACGAGTTACTGTTTGGAATATTTCCTTTCTCAGAACCTGCAGCTAATTTCCCACAAACCTTGTTATTTCAGGCAGGTCTGATGGTTAACATTTGGGTTTTCAAACTGTTTCATCACTGTGTTTTACCTGCAGTATTATTTATAAGTCCTGTCTTAACACTCCCTCACATTCTCATGTGAAAAGTATGAAAATGTTTTGACCAAATTGTTCTAAATATACACAAACAATATTTAGTTTATAGTTTGTCATCTGTGAAAGATTTAGGATTAAGACTTCTAATCTAATCCCATTTCCCTCTGTCTCACACTCTGATAATCTGCTAATAAAACCTGTCATAGGTTCCAGTGCACAGTAACCCAAAGGCAGGTGAGTGGTTAGTAGTTGGTGGTAAAGAGAGAGAGTCTCTCAGGTTGTACTGTTGAAATCTGTCTTGAATGTATCTCTGTAATCCAAGTAATGAAAAATACTCTGTGGTGTAGTAAACATGGGGGGCGAGGACAGAGGAACCGTTCACTTCTGTTTTTTACTGGGTCACAATCTTCACGTAATCCTGACGTAATCCCCACAGTTTTACAGTGTGGACGTCCGCTGCACTCTGGAGGTGTACGCACCAACAAAACAGTGGAGCGCTGCACCTCAGTGGGACCTCGACGTTTTAAATCACCCCATCTGGAATCAAACCTTCCAACTGTCTGCAGTCGGTCTGTCCTTCAGCTCTGTCTGCTGGGGGAAATACACTGACGCTTCTTTTCATGTTTGGTCCAATCAACTGACAGTGAAGAGTGCTGGACTGTCCCTTTGTTGGACAGTCCAGCCTGGCTAGAAAAAACACCCACATTCCACTTTGATTGGACACCAATTGTGTGATGTGTTTTGTCTGAACTAGTGTCCACTCCACATTGTTGGACTGGGCCCCAGAACACGGGTCACATCCCTGCTGCAGAGCTGGGACTGGAGAGTCCTAGCTGAGCCCGGGGTTTTGGGCGGGTCACTTCGGGTGTGTGTGTGTGTGTGTGTGAGAGAGCTTGTTTCCTGTGCAATTATGCTCTGTCCCGGTGAGTGTGTGTCTGTGTGTGTGTGTTCTCAGAAAAGGATGGTTCAGATGTGATGCTGTGTTTGGTTTGACTCAGTGTCAGGGATTAAGTATTAGATCCAACCACATTGTCGTCCGGAGAGTGGAATGTACCGGGCCCACTGTTTGTGTACGTGTGTGTGTGTGTGTGTGTGTGTGTGTGTTGCATACCTGTATATAATATGTGTGTGTCAGTCACATTCTTTTTTTGTGGAATGTTGTGTGTGAATGAACTGGAGTGTTTTGGATGTCACAGTTTGTTTTGTCATTCTGTCTGTGTGTGTGTGTCTGTCTGTGTGTGTGTGTGTGTCTGTCTGTGTGTGTGTGGTGGGAATTTCAATTATTCATACTACAAAGACAGTTCACCCATAATGCCCTATTATTTTAGGGTTTCTCCATCTAAAAATGCACAAATTCAACTCAGCTTCTGTTCCAGCCGTTGTTCCAGGTGTTGTTCCAGGTGTTGTTCCAGGTGTTGTTCCAGGTGTTGTTCCAGGTGTTGTTCCAGGTGTTGTTCCAGGTGTTGTTCCAGGTGTTGTCTCCGATGGACGACTGTTGTCTTTTATTGTTCACTGGATCACGATAAAAGGATCGGACAAAAATGAGTCTTTGCTAACAAGGGGAAGTCCAACTTTCAAAGGAATCTGTGAGATTCTTTTCTGATCCTGAAGCTCATTTGCTGGGACCGTCTTTCTGACCTCTGTCCCAGCATGCACCTCTTAATGCTCTCTGTCAACAGTGGTCCTTCACACCAAGAACCAGTCTTCTAGTCATTGAAATGGAAGCAGCGGGAAGTTGAAGCTGCCACACAGATCAACACACACACACACACACACACACACACACACACATCACACAAACAGAACCAGAAAAGACCAGACTTTAAAGTCTGAAATATTCGGGGGTGTGTGGCGTTCTCAGCGTGAACAACATTTGTGTGTCTCTGTGGTTTTCTGGTTCTTGGTCAAACACTCCGTCTTTCACACAGACGTCCTTCTGTTTGCTCTTCAAATGTGTTTAAAGTCAACATTTCTTTACCTTGTTCTCCCCCAGGTTATGTGTTATCCATCATGGGTCGTCGTCGGAGCCTCCCTCACATCCGCTCTCCTGATTGGGCGACTCGTATGCAGGCCGAGAGACAGGCCGTCAACTTCACAGTCCAAGGTCAGAGGGATCACACTTGACCTGTAGGACGTAGACCACAAATACCACACCACATGTTAGGTGTCTCCTGTACCGTCACAGGTGGACCCACTGAAAGAGCTTCAGTTCACCTTTAATCACTAATACAACCGAGTTTTACTGCCTGAAACGGTTGCTGCTCTGTCGAAGCAAAGCACAGAAGTCAGACTTTATTTCATTTGATCTTCGTGTTATTAGAATTTTCACACATAATAGACGACGACCCAAAAGTAACGTCAAACATTTTCAAAGAACTCAAAGACTAAGACTAAAACTCTTCTTTGGTAACGTGGATTCAAAAACTTTACCTGTGTACCTGTGTGTGTACTTTACTCATGTGTGTGTGTGTGTACTTTACCCGTGTGTGTGTGTGTGTACTTTACCCGTGTGTGTGTGTGTGTGTACTGTGTACAAACAGGTTCTGCGGCCGACCTCTGTAAGATGGCCATGATCAGGATCTTTGACCTCGTCTCCTCATCATCGTCTCTAACTGCCAGGTACAGACACTACACCAACAGATTAGTCACTGACCTTAGAGGAGGAGGAGGAGGAGGATGATGGAGTCTCTGCTGGTTTGTTCAATGACCAACATGTGGCGCTGGTTCTGTTGAATGTGTGTTTGTATCTGCAGGCTGACGGCACAGCTCCACGACGAGCTCCTGTACGAGGTGGAGGACTCGCAGGTGGAGGAGTTCGCAGGTGAGTTTACTGGGCCACATCGTTAGTTAGTTTATACCATGAATGTTGTGGAACACAGATTTGACATTTAGCTTGTGCTGCTGCCAAATCTCAACAACCACATGAGCAGGTGTCATGACAAGAACCAAAATCTCCAAAGAACCATTTCAGAATGTGGTTTTTCCACAGACAAACATGACATGATGAAATGTTGCTGTCAGTGACAGGAACCTGTTTGTAAAATAATAACGTGTGGTCCCTTACAGCGTTGGTGAAGAACACCATGGAGTCTCTGCAGCATATCCATCATCTGGGCGTTCATCTCAAGGTCAGTCAAAGGTCAAAATGTAAAGACTTTTATTTTATGTAGATGTCTTTTGTCTTAAAAATAAAGACTTTTATTTTATGTAGATGTCTGTCCAGATGTTGGTCAAAGTCTACAGTTACTCCAGGTCACTTGGAGTCAGACTTCAAGTCACTGCAGATCAAGTCGCAACATTTAGGAATACGTTTCAGAACTAAGGCCCGTGAGCTGCGTTCAGCCCATGAATTCATTTCAGATGGACGACAGACTCAGTGTGATCTTGATAATCCTGTCTCTGGGGAACAGTGACATCACACCGGCCTTAACTGCAGTTGCTTACTGTGTGTTTCTGACCTAGACCTTCAGTGGCGTCCTGCATGAATAGATGCTCATCTTTATGATGTCATTATGTCTACAGGAATCAGCCATAATATGCAGAAAAAGTGATGAAGATGATGATGATGTCTTTCAGTGACAGCTCTGACCTTACAGTCCTAATTCACAGCATCTGTTTTTATCATTATTCAATAAATGGGTCAAGTTTTTTTTCCCTTTTGTGTTTTAAAAAATATTTTTATTTTTGTAAACAAATTGAGATTCTGTCAGCTTCCTGAACTAATCACGAACGTAACCTCATAACCTCTGTGTGTGTGTGTGTGTGTGTCTTTGTCTTTCCCTCAGGTTCCCCTGAAGGTGGCAGTTTCCTGTGGCAAGTCATGGGGCTCCATGTCTGAGCTCAACTTCCCCTCCACATCTCCCTCTCCTCCTCTTTAGGCCTCCTCCTTTTACTGCCTGTCTGTTCTCCTCTCCTCTGTGTTCACTCCTTTTCCTCCTCTCTGTTTGTCTCTGCCTCATCTGTGTCCTTCTCTCCTCTCTCTCTCTCTCTCTCTCCCTTTCTCTCTCTCCTACTCTCTCTTCACTTGCCCTGCATCCACATCGCCATGGAAACCAGGCAGCTGCAGCTCCTTTCAGCTCCAAATTCACTTTTTTTTTTCTTGCTCCATCCGTATCCTGGGGCAACGGCAGGAGCCACAGACCAGTTTGTTCCAGTTCTCCCTCTTTTAATTCTTCTCTTCTTCTTTTTTTTTTCATGTCCTGCTCCTCCTCCTCCCCCTTCTCCTTCTCCTCCCCTACTCCTCCGTTTTCACACTGCCTGGTTGTCAAGGTGAAGCTCCCGGTTGGTGGCAGTCTTGTTGATATTTGTTGGTTAATACGTTTATTGTTTCGTGAGAGTTCATTTTAAATCACATTTGAAGAAAAAAAAAAGGCTGAGCAGCTGGAGACAAAAGACAAATGTTTCACTGTTTCTAACGTTAGATTTCTCTCCTTGTTTCTCTCCAATAAAATTAGCATTCATTCACTCTTGGTTATTATTACAAATCAACTCTGCAGACTAACTGTGGTGGACGTCACCAACTGCCTGAACTTCCTGCTCACTTCAGTTCAACCTTCGTTTTGTCTGTTCTTCTTTTTTGTCCTACTTTTCAAATTCTTTTATGCTTTCACATTTTTCCAAGATTATTATTATTATCAACTAGTCATCCAGGTGGCGCTAATTAACATTCAGTCAGTTATAGTTCATGTGTAGTTGATGAGAAATTGATTTAAAAAATGCCGACATCTTTTGTTTGTTTGTTTTTCCTTCCCTCCTTCAGTTTCCAGACCACTCCGCAGCGTGTCCTCACGTTAATACTCTCACATGGGCCGGACATTTAGGAACAAATATTTCAAAAGAAAAAAAAACATTTATTACACAGATGATGGTAAATGAAGAGGTAAGTCTGCTGACAGTATCCACAACTGGGTGCATTTCATTTAAAACATTAGTTCTACTACAGTATGAACTGAGACAAAAGCCAAGTGTCAAACATCTGTGGACTCCAGCAGATGATTCACATCAGCAGATCATCTGGTTTGACTGAAGGACAGCAGTCAAGAGGTTTGAGGAATTTAGAAAAGATGGAAAAGAAACCAGTGAGTGGAGTTGTTCAGGAGATTTGTTCAGGAAAACCTAAAATGACATGGAAATCTGATGGAATAGTCACAACAAATGATTCTCCTGAATACTGTTCACTCTGTTCTCACTGCAGGACTTCAATCACTCTTTGGAATTATTCACACTCAGCTGATTCAAAGCAGATGATCTGCTTTTTCACCCAGCTTCTTCTTCTTCCTTCTCTCTCTCTCATGCACTCACATTCCACAAATGCTCTTACATGTGCACACACACACACACGCACACACACACACACTCCCCCACAGCCACTCAGTCTCTGGATTCCAGGCATACTGACTGCGCTTTCTTGTCCGTCACAGTCACAGTCAGTCTCTCTTTCTCTCTCTATCCTTTTATCCTGTCCTTCCACGAGGACCTTTTAAAACTCACTCAAAGGTCCTGGCAGAGATTTACGACCTTTAACACTAAGACTTACCTCCATTATTACTAAATGTCACCTCATGCCGGCCTACAATTGAAGTAGCTGCCACTTTTTAAGGCGCTAACAGAGGAGACATCCAGAACATTTGTCCATCAATCGACTTGTGTCCTGTGGTGTGTCTGTAGTGGTGTACAAAGGCCCCACGCCCCTCTGTTTAATACAACAATGGTAAGAGAAGTTTTCCTGATTTTGTGAAGGCATCTTCAACACCTTAGAGCTGTTCTCTTTCATTTCCCTGTTCAGGTGATGTCATGAGAATTTGGTCACAACAATGGGCCGCTCTGTGGAGCAGAGAGTGTAGCAGCACCACTTCCTCAGCTTTGGTTCCTGTTCTTGCAGCAGTTGTAGTGGGCGGTGAGTGTGAGTGGAAAAGAAACATCTCAGCTCGTACTGCATGGTGAGCGTATTTCATGAAGCACCTGGGCGTCAGTGTTTTCACCACTTCAGATTTGAATGTCTCAAATGCAGCCCCGAACCATCACAGAGCCTCCACCCTGGTCAAAGTATTTCTGTCCTTACCTGACATTATAATGTGGATTCCACTTAAAACTGTTACTGCTTTTCCTGGGGAAATCCCCAGGGGTATTATTTCCCATCCATCCATCATGGACTTAGCTCCTCCTTAGAGGCCAGAGGACTGTCCCTGATAAACAGACCTTTTCAATAACATGCACATCAACCTTGTAAAACCAACAGCTGTGACTGAAGATTTCAGCACGTCTCTCATTTGTCCCACTGTTTAATCCTTTTCTTCAGTGCAGACGTCGCCTTTGAAGCCTGTTAACAGGGAAGATTTTGTGTCTCACCATGCAGACCAGCAGGAGCAGCTCAAAGCCGCAGCAGCTCAGACAGTGTTAGAGAAACCCCCACCTCACCTCCCCCCAGTCCCTCATTGTTCTGTAGCATTTTTGGGAGAAGGGGGTTGAGGAACAAGTTCCCCTTCCTGGGTTTTTTCTTCTGTGTCCTTTTATGTACTTTCCTGGGGCGAGTGTGAGAGCGGTATGTGCAAATTATGCCTACCAGGGTAAAACAGTCAGAAAGTTCTCAAACCCCAAACTGTCGACATAAAGATCACGTCCACATTCACTCCAGGTCTTCAAAGGGTACTTTTCATCCTTAGAAGTGCTGAAAATATATTGTTGTGTTTTAAAGTACGGAAGCTTAAAGTACGACGAGAAACTGCTTAAAAATTAGAGGTTTTATCTCAAAAGGTTTATCAGCTGAAAGATAAGAATGTGAAAAGACCAATACATTTAAAAGATTTTGGTTCAAAGATTACAAGTTAATCCTGAAGTACATTTAATTTTCCAAATGATCCAGTAAGTTTAACTAACAAAAAAAAACACAACTAGCCAAATGTTAGCACAAAACTGGAGACATACAGATAACTGAAAGCTAAAAGTTTCAAAATGAGCAAATATTGTATAATATTTGCCAAAAGATTAATAAAGGACGGCAGCGGTCAGCAAAAGATTAAAGACTTAGGATAAGTAGATAAAACTTATCCAAGAGTAACACAGAAATACAGCGAGGAAAGTGAAAACATTTACCTGAACTGAACTAGCTTTCTTAAAGTGAGGTGAAAAACCAGAGAATAGCTAAGAATTTATGCACAATTTTGTATTATTTTATATTATCATATTTAGTAAAGTTATCTAAAATATACCCAGAAAAGGTAACACGTTTGAAAAATGTCTAAAATGTATTTCAAGTAGAATTGACTTGAAATGATAGAATATTTCAATTCTTTTCTGGCTCTTTGAAAACCAGAATAATCTTTTTCTCTCTGGTCTTCTGCAGAGAGGCGGCCATGTTGGACCACCATGTGTTCAAATGAAAACTGAAGAATGAGGTCATATTTGACACCAGATATGTATTTATGTCACTTCTCCACTAGATGCTGCTAAATACTCTGCATTGTCTCTTTAACCACCGGTCTTTGTGATGCAGATTGTTTTTTGGCGATAAATGATTTGATTGGTTAATGCTGTCACTTTTATGACCAGGAGTCACACTCAGCCCACAGGTCCCTCTGAAGAGAACCGTTGTCAAGGGCCGCAGCATGAGCTTCCTCCCGCTGTCGTGGCAACCGTGGGATGTGTAAGTGTAGAGACTAAAGTCGTGCATCTTCACCGGTGACACAGTTTATTCTGGTCTTTGCTATGACGTCGCAGATTGGTTTTGCCCTTTGACCTTTGTCTTTCCCCGCTCATATATGAACATTTGTTTGAATTTATTGCTCGTTGCTTTGATGCGTTCACTGCACTGCATCCACCACAGAAATGTGACTGCTGACACTTATGTCACGTCACAGGCACAAACACACTTCCTGTTGTTTGTCCAGAACAACTGTTACACTTTGTACAACTGGGCCTTGACCAAGAAAGTGTGATGCACTCACATGTCCTTTCATGTTGAATCATGACTGACTCGTGTGAGGATCAAACCTTGGTTTTAGGCTCATTTTATACCAGTCCTTGTTACTAATTAACCTCTTAATTATAGAACACAATAATCTCTCCAGTCTAACTTCTTTTGTTGCAAAACTGTTGTTTGCGTTTAGCTTATTGAATAATGTTGATCTGTTCAAAACATGAGAACATCAGGTTTCATGGCCTGGAAATTCTGGAACATAAATTACAAATGTTCCAGTAATGGACAATAAGGAAAAAAACACGTCAAATGTCCTAGAAATGTCATGTGACTGATTGGACACAGTGAAACCTTTGAGCCTTCATGTCACGTTACTTTGTGGCTGGATTAAATGACTTTTCAGTCAGCGGCCAGTACAGAGTGGTGAACAGACGCCACAGTTTGATGCATTGTCATTTTTAATGGATACACTTTATGTACAGTCATGTTTCAATCATCGTCATGATGCAAGAAATCCCAACTTTACACCTATACAGTTCCAGTTGATGTCAGTACAAAAGAAAGTGTTAATAATCACAACAATAATAATATTAATCACCATCATCATCATCATCATCACCATCATCCCAGTAATCCCAGAATTCCCAGTGTAGTAGTAGAACAATCTTCCCAAAGGAATGACAAGAAGGAAATGGAGAGACAGTGAAGTCTGTTGCGAATCAGTGGGACCGTGGGGGAGGTGAGGGAGGAGGGGTGGAACTCCTCCCACCTGCATTCTTCTCTCTCTCTCTCACCGCTCGACTTCCTCCTTGCACCTCCCTCCTCAGTATTTACACCACATCCTCTTCCTCTCTGCTCCTCACCTCTCACCCAGTGGGCCCCAGGTGGTGTTGACTCACGGTCCACGTAATACCCTCACTTGCTGTCTAACCCCCCCCTCCCTCCCCCCTCCCTAAGTCTAACTCTCCTTCCATCTGTCCATCACTGCCTCCTCTCCCGTGTCCTGGTCTGGCTGGTTGACCCGTCTCTCCCTACAGTCTGGCTGATCCGCTTTGTGCTGCAGCGTTTCCTGGCAACACAGCAGCCATGACAGGCTCTTCAGAAAGAAGACCGGAAAAGGACAGGAGAGGAGGGGGGAGTAAAGGGGGAGCATCATCACTCCATCAACAGCATTTCTGTTAAAACAAAAACATTGAAAATGTTCTGTTGGCTAAACATAAGGCTCCGGGGGTCTCCCTGGGATCTCCTCACAGATGAACCTTATGAACCAGTCAGGATTCACAACGAAGTGGGGATGAAAACATGGGTGGGCCTCGAGTTTGGAGTCACAACTTCCTGTCAGCGGACAGTGGAAGTGGAATATCTACCAGGGTTTTGGGAATCATCAAGTCCTAACTGGCTCCTGTCAATGCAGCCCACCTGGGCCAGACTACTGATCACTGCTCCTGTCTTCAATCTCCACCTTCTCTGGTTGTGAGGGTTCGAGCAGACAGAAAAAAAACCAAGTGGCGCGGCTGGTCAGTTTGTCCAGATGACGTCGGCTGCAGAATCCTGTATTAGTGCTGTAAATATCCTTAAAATATATTTTAGATTTTTTTTAAATCCACACTTTTATTTTCTTACAAAAGGAGTAAAAAAAATCACCCCAAATGTTATTTACAATAAAATATACTTTACAACTTTACAGTTACTAACTCTGAAGACTCACACTAAATCTCACTGGTAGGAAAAGTTAGGCATGGGGGCGCTGCAGGACGTTTTTCTTTGTAATCGATTCACTGGTACAGAAGTAACAACGATCAGGCTGCACCTCAAGTCTTTGTTGTTGAGTAAAAGACTAAACGGGTGCAACAGCGCCATCTTTCTTCCTGTCTGCTCGAGCCGCTCACTCCTCAGCCTCCACTGTCCCTCTGGTCATTTCCTCCTGACATATGTACAAATATGCAGAGGTACACGTGTAAAAACACAAACTACAAATAAACCCAGAAACATCATCTATACAATCGAAGCCGCTCTCCTCCACTGTAGTCGATGCTAATGATGTAATACCAGTACCACGTTGGCATCACTGCCATCACTGGTACAGTACGTGGGCTATAACACTGATGCAGCATTTCATTTATTTTAGTGGGACATAGTGGGTCACCGGGCCGCATCTCACGTGGGCCACACCTGCAGGTTTATTGACTGTACACAAGTGTATAGTGGGCGTTATGGAGCAAATTGGGTGAACTGAGTGGGCTGCATATTGGGCTACAAACCAGATAACAGTTTACACACATTCATCCAAGGAAAGCACAAATATGGGCTGCATCACTGCCAGGAGTGGTGTGCATCAGTGAGTAGAACTGTCTAGCCGTCTTACCTCCACATGTGGCCCACATGCAGATGCCCGCTGAAAGTCCTTCCTTATGTTTATTGCTGACTGAATGGTACATGGGCTGAATTTTATTTCTCATTTCCCTCCAGACAAACCAGGGCGTGGCCGTTGATCAGAAATGAACAGAAATGCAGCAGTTTCTGTCAGTGTGGAAACAGGTTCACCTGCGTCCTCTTCTCTTCAAAGTCAAACAAGAACATCGGAAAATCTTCTCGTAGAAAAAGAGTGAACTCTGGACCTGTGCTGTCAAAGAACAGAACAAGACACAGTTGTGCTACCAGTGCTCCTGTGTTCTGGGCATCTGTGGCCTCAGTCCACAAACCAGTCCAGTGTTTCTGACAGTGGAGCCACACCTTCACCAGAAGGAGAGAGAGGGAGAGAGAGAGAGAGAGGGAGTCCATGCTGTGGCGTCCAGGTACTGAAGTTCTCCTCTTTCTCCTCCTCCTTTTCAACACCCCATCCCAACCTCCCTTCCCTCCCTCCCTTTATAATCTCATCCTGGTACAGTCCTCCCTCACCCTCCTCCTCCTTAGGTGGGACACTCTGGGTGACAGTCATCTTCTGAGACTGGGTGTAGTAGTTAAAAAAAAAAACAAAAAAAAAAAACAAACAACCAAAATAAAATACTTCACCAGGATTGATGACAGGTGGCAGTAAATGATACATCAGCAGTAGTAAAGATACGACTATTTACAATGTCTAACATCTAGTGTAGTGGTTAAAGCAGAACAGCTGCTTGTCACTCCTTTCCCATGATGCTTTTCACTTGTCAAATTGAAGAAAAAAAATCAACAACAAAAACAATACACCATCAATGTGAGCAGTTTACATTCATGTGTGTGCTGGCCCCTCCCAAGGCCACACACACACCGTCAGAGTAAGACAACACACTCACAGCTTCTGTACATTTGTGCAGTTTTGACTTCTCTGCTCCTGTACCAGTCAACAAACTGAGGAAGTAAAAAAAAAACAAAAAACGACGGCTTTATAATTTAAAAAATATATTTGAAGCATGTCTTTAAAAACCTGCTGACATCATCAGCCTCAGCTTCAAAGACAACCTCCTCTGAGCTGAGAGGCTTTTTCTGTGGCACAGTTTTTAAAGGTGACCCAACACGAGGCGCCCCCTCAGAGAGACAGCCCAGGTAGAAAAGAATGAGAGTGTGTAGTGGGGATACAGGTACAACAACAGGACAGTTTTCCTTCCTCTCAGTTACACGCTGCTCTCAGGTGTTAATGGCAGTACTACAGTCTAACATCCAGTCTGCAGAACCAGTTTAAAGTGGGCTGTGGGTGGTGGGGTGGGGGGGCAGGGCTGGGTTATGTTATAGCATTCACATAAAGTACAAAAGAGACATTAATGCATCAAAGTCAGTGCACTTCAGATTTACACTGTTAAAGTAAATACAAAGACATCCACCCTCAGCTGTGACGTCCACAAAGTTAGGATTTGATTCCAGTGCATAAGGCCTCGGAGAAGGCATTTCTGGAAAAGTTACTTTTGTTCAGAGTATGTACCAAAACGGAATAACAATAAAAGCCTGTAACTGTAACAAAACAGGTTTTCACCCAGTCAAGGCTGAGATCAGCAGCAGCAGACATGGCTCAGGCTTCACATGAGACCCGACTCTCACTCTCAGCTCCCAGACCTTGACCAGAATGAGTCCTAGATTATTATTATTATTATTACTACTAATATTATTATTATTACAACATGGACCTCACCAGGTTTGACAGTTAGCTGCTCAGTTTAGCCAACACTGTTGTTTTAAAAGAAACTTCACATCTATTAAAGTCAGCTCCAATTCTTACTTTCTCCGTCCTTATCAACAACCAAAAGCATCATGGTCATGATAGGCCTGCTCCAAAAACGTACAATACTGCTTGGTGCTTAGATCATACCATAGACTGTACATAAGGGATGGATGTTGTCTTTGGTGACTCTGCTGGTTGGGAAGTTCCACAACGACTTCTTACTCAACTGCAACGTCAGAATGCATTCACCTTTTGAGGCTACTATTAACGTGGGCACACAAGGCATCGTGGTAGGAGGTCCAGACTTTTAGAGGATCACAGGTTCAAATCCCATCTGATTCGAGGGGGAGTATTGCGGTAGCACCAATTTCAGATTTTTGAAATTTTGAATTGCAATCACCAGGGTTGGCCCAGATTTACAGTGCGTGCATCAGCAGGTCCACCACAGCCTGCACCGTGGTGACTCCATCATTTATATACAGTCTATGGTTTGTGCCTTTTGTAGTGTTGTATTTTAAGACTTCAGAGGGTTTAATAAATACATTTCTGTGTCTACAGAAGCCGTACAGCCGGGACACTTCACATACATGGGATGGGAACGCAGAGGTCAAAGGTCAACCCTTATACATGGAGTGGATTTCAAACTTGAGGCAGTTTAAAATACTTCCTTTTGCATCACTGACCAAAGGCCGACACTAAAATCAATCTCTCTTGCTGAGACTTCAGGACTGCTTCCACCAAAGAAGAACTGAGACACTTCTGTGTCAAACGTACAGAAGAGAATCGGAGTGACTTTCAAAGCTTTCAGAGCTAATGTTGGAATTCAGATCTGATTCTGATCCACTTTTCTGTGAAACAAAAAACCATTAGATTCAGAACTCACAGAAATTAAGAATTTATTTGTCTATAGAAATTAAAACCATAACAATTCTAGTCCCAAATTTCTCAGAACAAAAAGTAATTTCCAGTGTCCTAACTCTGACGTTCACCAGAGAAAGTCAGGTATTTTTCCAGATTTTTCCCAGATTCCCAGAATTTTAACTTTAATATTCTCAACAAAATAATAAAAGGATTTGTTGTTTTTTTTCTCCAGATTCTCACAGCTCCAACAAGATTCCACGTCACTCCGATGCTCTTCTGCACAGGTACCTTCATTCCCACTTTTTGTAGTTAAAAAAGAAAATGTACCAAAGAAGTCATGATAAACGATAAAAAAACAACAACAACAACAAACTACAGTTTTCAATCTGACACAGATTTTACACTTGGTTAAAATCATAATAATGTTGGTTGTTCTGCTTCTAAATATCCTTGATCTGGATCTAACAGAATGATTTTAAAAAAAGAAAAGAAAACACACGTTGTACTAGTCCATGGTTCCACTGTTTCTCCCTCTCAGAGTCATATTTGCATTCAAAGACACGTTTCATGCAAATGGTACAATTTCATTATTTGTCATACAAAGAAACACAATTCTTTGATATTTTCATCCTTAAAAAAACGTATTTTCATTATATATATATTTATATATTGTTGCTATATATTTAACAACATATATCTGTTAATGGTGTTTATTAATTTTTTGTTTTAATCTGTACTTTTCCAGGGCAGGCACCGTACACACACTGGGTACAGAGGCATGCCACACTTGCATTGCTTTTTGCATTCTACAGTTGGTTGGCTGACAGGCAACGATGTCATCCAGGCAGCGCTGCTAGTGTCGTGAGTGGTTCCCTAATCACACACACACACACACACACTCAAAACTCGGTCTGGCGGGCTGGCGTGCGGGCGAGGGGGCGGGGGGGCGGGCTGGGGGTCCAGGGTTCATCCAACAAGCTTCAAATGGAATAAAAGCAGTGCAGCAAGGCTCTGTGGCGCATGCAGAGGTGGTGGGGGCAGGGGCAGGAAAGGTTAAAGGGTCATGGAGGGTGTGGGTGTGTGTGTGTGTGTGTGTGTGTGTGTGTGTGTGTGGTGGATGAAGGTTTGAATGAAGGATGTGAGGTCTGGCCCAGGGTTGCAGACAGATTAATGAAAGAGAAGAGTTTGGAGGGAAAGGCGAGGAGTCAGTGCTAACTTCATGGTGATTACATTGGAAATCTTTTTTTTTTTCCTTTTTTTTCCATCTTTTGTAATTTTTTAAAATATTTTTTCTTTTTATATTATCTTCTTACAAATGATTCAGTGACACATCTGAGGCTCAGAGTGGGGGTGGATGAATCTACTGCTGGTTGTTGTTGGTTGGGAGGGTGGAGATGGAGCGAGGTGTTATGGGACAAAGGCTGACGGTGAGTGGGTGCCTAATATAGATAACCGAGGGGGGGGGGGGGGGGGGGAGGGGCGGCTGTGTGTTGGTGCTGTTTGTGCTCACTCACAGGTTTGCAGGTTCTGTGACCTCGGTTAGTATGTGACTGTTGTCTTTGTAGTTTTTGAAAAACCTGCAAATTACTTTGTGGTAATATGAGTCCAACGGTATAAAAATGACTAAACCTCAAAAAGTCAAGAGTACGTAAGAGAGTGTTGGGTTAGTAAACACTCACAGAAAACTCAGTCTGAAAATAAAACCTGCTAAATTTGGTTGTGTGGAGGCAACATGGCCTCATTAAATACACACCAACACAACTACACACACCCAACAGTCTCCCAAATACAGCTGCAGCTCTGGGCCCACCAGCCCTCGACTGGACCTCATCCACATACAGAATCACAGTCTGGATATCCCCTAAACTGCTTTTCACTCTGTTTGATATAAAAGTGTTTCAGATTGTTTGTTAATTGGCCAACATTATCACATCTGCTGTGATGTTACACAAACAAACAGAGAATCTGACTCTGAATTCATAACTCTGAAGTAAAAGAAGACTTCATGAAGACAGAACAGTTGATTAGCTAGGTCGTTAGCAAGAACAGCTACAAGACTAAAATTTGTTCGGTAGAAGAATTAGATTAGCTTGGCCGTTAGCCCACATAGCATTAGCCTTCATTTGAATCCCCTAGTGTTGCCTTCAAAGTGTGCTCTGTATTTGGTGTGTTCTGACACAGAGATCGTGTTCCTGAGTTGAGAGACAGTTACTCTGGTCCAGCCTTTACACTCTGACTGTATGTTAGGTCTTCTCGAGGCCGTGAGCGCCACCCTCCTGTCAACCAAATTGCAGAAAATAATTTAGTCTTTTTGTTAAATACAAAGCATGTCCTGACACACACAGACTTGGTGTGCAGTGTGTGGTGTCCTGTGTGTGTGTGTGTGTGTGTGTTAATGAGTGTAAACCCGCCTCCTGACTCTTGCTGTGGTGGATTTAAGAGAATCAGGGCAGGAGGGAAGGCTCGTCTTGATGGGGGAGGGATAGAGAAAAAGGGTGGCACTGTGGAATCATAATGAAAGGACGTATTGATCTGAGTCACGTGGGCGGGGGTGGGCGGGGCTAGTCAGGATGTCATTTACATGTCCTCAACCAATGTCTAGGGGTTTCTTTTAATTCTACAATGACAAGGGAGGAGTCCAAAAATAGATTAATAAAATTATTTAAATGTAAGAAAAAGCAACATCAACAAAAGTATTGTAGTAAAAAAAACCTTAGTGACTTTAGAGATGAATTACTGAGGCTGAAGGTATTTCTAGTGACAGAAAATAAATAAAAAAGCTGTCAGAGGAGTGGACATGATCAGGCTCTCAGGTGAGGAGGGTGATTCTTCTCTCCCTCCCTCTCTCTCTCTCTCTCTCTCTCTCTCTCTCTGGCTGTCCCTCTCTTTCTCCATCTCCCCCTCTCCATCTCTCTCTCTCTCCCTCTCCCTGTCACCTCTCACTCCTCGCGGAGCTGCAAGCGGTAGCGGCAGTAGCGGATCTGGAAGAAGAGCCTCTCCAGAAGCGAGCGGCTCATCCCGGGGAGTCGGTGGTCCTCTGACTGGCCAATCCGGCGGAAACCCAGAGACTCATACAGCTTATGGGCAGCCATCTTGACAGCTGTGGTGCCCAGGACCACGGCGGTGTAGTTGTTGCGCACGGCGAACTCCAGGACACGGCGGCCGAGGGCCTTGGCGATGCCTTTGCCGCGGTAGCGGGAGTCCACTGACATGCGACGCAGCTCCACTGTGTTGTCATCTTCACGGCCCTGAGCTGCCACGATGCCAACAACCCGTCCATCCAGTACCGCAACCCAGAAACAGGAGCCTGACAGAGGTGACAGGAAATGAGGGAAACAGTTGTTAGCCAATCTAGAAACCTCTTCATTCTGACTCAGATTATATTTTTATGTCAAAATGGTTGTTTAATCAATCATTTAAGGTTAGCCTGAACGTTAGCCACATTAGCAAAGATGTAGAGAAAGTCCATCTCACACATCGGCTCATTCAGAGTAACCAAAATAGTTAAATCCAAAATGACATTCTTTTTCAATTGACAAAGGACAGACAGACAGACAGACTGTCTGACTGACAGACAGTCAGACAGTGATGATAAAAGAGACTACAGACAGATCAACAGACTCTGCTCCTCCACCACAGTCAGCCGATGCTCATGGTTTCATGAAAACACGTCTCAATTTAAGACGTTTTCTTGGTGCCAAAAAATTATGGTTTTGATTTTTCAGTATTTTATCATTTAAAGTGGATGATCGCTCCGTCTCCCACCAAATGTGAACATGCTGCTTCACTAACCTGCTGGTGTTTGGGATTTTTGAAAAATCTGTAATTTCTGCATACAAGACTCAGTTATTGTTGTTGTTGCTGTTGTTGTTGTTGTTGTTGTATCAGTCCAGTTTTCATTCATATTTAACATTGCTCTCAAAGGGACACGTTACTGCTAACACGTTCTGAAACACGAGTGATGCATTGTGGGCTGCATGTTGCTGATGCTACAGAGGGTTTTGCATTTGTGGTCTGTTGCTCTGTAGAAATTTAAATTACTCACCGATTCTCTCAGTTCCTCTTTTGGTTCTACCACAGACCTGACACTCTCCTGTCGTGTCCAGACACGTGGCCCAGCTGGTGCTTTCTGATGCATAACAACCTGATCAACTGTCAGCACCCTCGCACCCTCACAGCACCACTGACCTGATCAACTGTCAGCACCCTCGCACACTGCCACACCTTGATTGAGCAGAGGTGGCTTGTGATTGGTGCTGCCTTTTCATCTAACCCGAAACTGAAAAAGTTCTTGTAACCAACTTTTCCGTTGGATGTTTGTAGGTGTTTCGTTAACGGCAGACCTCAAAGCTGCGGTGTCACCTGACACGGTGCCACGGCGTCATCATAACGCTTGTGCACATGCCTCTGTGTGTGTGTGTATGTGCATGTATTAGAGGGTGGCACACACGCTTCCAAGCTCTCCTGACCATCTGGCTGAACTGAGTCTGTGCCAGGACTGAGGGCAGGAGTGGAAAGTGTTCACGCCAACGTCCTGCAGCCGATCAGCTCTGCAGACTGAGCTTCACTCAACAAACACCTACACAGAGAGTTCACACTTTCACTTTGGATTTCAGGCCTTTTTACACGTTCATACAAATGAACTGCAGATTAACATGGTAGAAAACATGAAGTCTCAAACACATGACACACGGTAACAACCCACAGAGTATTAGCAGGAGAACTACAGTTAGCCCAGATGTCCTGTAGCATGATATTTAAACAACAAAATAAAGAAACAAAGGACAAAAGGGTGGCGCTGGAGCCAATCCCAGCTATCGACGGGCAGGCGCAGGGAACAACCTAGAAACTTTTCCAGTCCACCACAGCGCCACATACAGAGAGAAACAACCATTCACACTCCCATTCAGACCTAAGGTCAAACTACAGTGTCTGATCAGCCTACTCTCCTACTGAGCCTGTTTTTAGGCTGTTGGACGGAGCCGGACTACCCAGAGAGACACACACGGGCGGAGCGTGCTGACTCCATGTGGAAAGATCAACAGAAACGTGCTCATCTTCCTGCTGTAGAGGCAAGAGCCGTCTTTCCACTGATGTTATTTCTTTTGTGCCTGCCTAAGCTGCGTTTGATTTAGTGTAGCGCCACAGTCTGTGCTCCATCAACATCTACCACCTGATGTGGCGTGAATGAATCAAGTCACGGCAAAACCAAGGCGGAATAAGAGGGAGAGTTAAGCTGGACAATGAAGAAGTCAGTCATCTGTCTTCAGTGAAAGAGAGGAGGAGGAGAGGGAGAGGGGGAGGGGAGGGGGAGGAGGCGGGGGGAGGCCAGGCAT